GGGGGGGGGAGGGAGAATAAACGTAAGTGGAAAATGTGGGAAGTTGGCAGCCTCCGGCATCACTGTTTACCCAGATGCCAAGTCATTACATTACCATACATATTTCAAGGCAAAGACAATTAGCACCCAGGTTAGTAGCCCTTGCACTGAGTTAACCCCTTTACATTGGAGAGAGTTGGGCTGGGAGAGCTCAGGGCAAACGGTGTGGGGGGGAACCTATCACGGATCAGGTGGCCTCACGGTGCCATTCAAAGAGCAAGCAAAACGCCGGGAAAGGGAAATCCCCTCCTTAGCAAGAAGTCCGATATGAGGTGGGGGAGCAGCGTTACTGTGAAATACAACTCACTTGCTGTGAAAGCATCCGCAGCATAAGCGGTGCATGGGGAGGTAGCACACTGCCTCAACTATCTACACACCCAGATCGCACACACTCAGTCACACAGATCACACACACACTCACACACACAGGTCACTAACACCCCCCAGATCACACACACACTCACACACCTCCAGATGACACGCACCCCAGATCCCTAACACACCCCCAGATCACACCCCCCCAAATCCCTAACACACTCACACACCCCCAGCTCTCACCCCCTCCGAGATCTCTACCACAACTCCAGATCACACACACACAGTTCACTCGCACACACATCCCAGATCACTATCACACACCCAGCCACCCCAGATCTCCCCCCATCTCTCTCTCTCACACACACTTAGTTTCAATGCCTCTTATCCTGCCCTTCCTTCACGCTTATGTCTTCGGACCTGCGGGGCTGCCCACCCAAAAAAAACCCACTTACCCCTGTAACTATTTCCAGGCTTGTAAAATTCCGGATCTCCCTCTACTCGGAGGCTAAATTCATTGTACCCTTCTCTCCGGGTGCCTTGGGCTCGCAGGATCCGGCTGCAGTATCCTTCGGATTTCGTGGCTTTCTCCAGGGTCTCATCCGAGAAGCCCAGGGCCACTGAGGGAAAAGCCAGAGCCAGCAGCGGCAGGGCGAGGAGGGCTTGCGGATGAAGTCCCATCCTCGGGGCTCCCAGCAACTTTGTTTGCTCGCCGGGGCTGGCTCCCCTCACGCACAGGTTGGAGGAGCGGGCGCGGGGAGCGCGGCGCGCGGGGCGGGGCG